TTTTTTTTTCTCATCCCAACACACATATGAATTTTCCATCCAAAATACACTGTGCATTGGCTCAATCAAGCACATCAACATATATGTTCTCAGCAAATGATTTCCCAATTTTTGTGTCCTGCATACCTTGCCTTTTGTTTTGCCATCCTAGATTCCCCATCCCCACCCTCTGCCATGTCCCATCTTCCTCCTCCATTGTCCCTAACATTCATGATTGCCCTCAATGCCTTCCGCCCCCCCCCATTCAATTGTTCTACCAATGAACTCAATTAGTCTAGGTATATCCACTAGCTAGCACAGCTGACATATCCTTACACATGTATCCAAATCTGATCCTAGGCATAAACCCCAGGGAGTAGAATGAACATACGCAGCCTTGGCGCCCGGCCGGCTCCCGCTTCCGCCGGCCCAGCAGGACCCCGGGGGAGACGCGCAGAGCCCGGAAAGGCCCGCAGCGTCCCCAGGCCGGACGCAGCCTTGGCGCCCCAAAATACCTTGCCCTTCTTGAAACACCTCCCAGACCAATCCAGTTAAGAATACTATACATGTCATCAACAGTTTATAAGCCCTCTCTATTTCTCACTAACGTCCTGACTCTCTCTTGTTCACTTGCTATCCCCTTCTATCCTCTTCTCCTCACTCACCCCACTCCATTGTTCCACTCACATTAAGTACTTTCACTGATTTTCATGTCCTCCAATTCATTGCTCTCTACTATAGAATGCGGATAGTCGGTGTATATTGAGTGGATATGTACAATATCTTTCTTTCATAGCCTGGCTATTTCACTCAGCAATAGATCCTCCATACCAGCATGTTATCATCAACAATATTCCCTTTCTACTTTCATACCATGTATACATACATATATGTTTTTTATCCTATCTTTGACCCTCTGCCCCTTCCCCCTCTCCCATCACACCATCTCTGCTATATACAGTCATCTTCCAGGGGTACCATTGAAAATATGATACCTGTAAGCAAAGGGGGAAGGGCCACAAGTGTGGCGCCCGGCCGGCTCCCGCTGCCGCCGGCTCGGCAGGGCCCCTGGGGGAGACACGCAGAGCCCGGAAAGGCCCGCAACGTCCCCAGGCCGGACGCAGCCTTGGCGCCCGGCCGGCTCCCGCTTCCCCACACATGTAATTTTAAAAATATACGTGTTTGGGGTTGGCTGGTGACATGGTGGTTAAGGGCAGTGGACTGCCACATGGCCAACAGCAGTTCGAATCCCAGACCTAGTGGCTTGTTTTCTCTCTCTCTGTCCCTCTCTGATCAAATTAAAATAAATAAATGAATAAGTAAATGCATAAAGTTAAATAAAATAATTGTTAAAAAATAAATGGTGTTCTAATTATCAGTGCATTTCTAAGATTTGCAACGTGGAGAAGAGAGTACTTTGGTGAACAAATCAGACAGAGTCAAAATTTATCTTCAGTCTTGAATCTACTTTTCCCATACATTTGTAATAACGCTTTGGTGTTTCTGGGTCTATTTTTTAGGGAGAAATTTAGAAGACCAGAATATTGAAGATCAGTTTCAAAATGTCAGGAAAAATCCAAGGTAATTTGCACTCCCAACCCAAAGCAGTATCCCTTGAAACACTTGCCAGGAAATTAATTAATTAATTAATTAATTTATGGAGAGGTTTTTACTATAGGGCGCACGCACTCGCCAGAAAGACAGAGAGAGATAGAGAGACAGAAAGTGAGAAATCACCCCCCAGGGGGGATGGCCACGCCGCAGTCCCTTCTCCTCCATTCTCCTCTCGGGATCTTGGGCACACACGCGCATATGCCCTGCGCGAGTTTAAGCCACCGAGTCTGGGACTGGAACCGCGGTCAACTACATGGGAGTCCAGTGATGTAACCATTACGCCATGTGCTGGTCCCCAAAGTGCTTGTCAGGAAATTTAAAACACAGGCAAAAAGAACCCTGCTTCAAGTATATTTATTCCTACAAAACTTTCCCCCAAAATATGTACTTAAATGTGACATGAATGTTCGGTGCTTGCTAATCATTTTACTTGGAAATAACAGTAAGAAACTGAACATGGGACCAGCTGGTGCCGTGGTGGTTAAGGTGGCTGGATCCCACGTGGTTGATTGCGTGGTTTCAATTCACAGCGGCTTAAAAAATCACGCTGGACCATGAGTGTGTGTGTCCCAAATCCCCACATGGAGAAGGGATTGTGACATGGACATCCCCCCTGGGGTATCCTTTCTCTGTGGGTGTGTCTCTCGTGGGTGCATGTGACCTATAGCAAACTAAAAAAATTAAAAATAAAAACCCACGCTTGTTCAAATCATTCAGTGTATAAATCCTACATGTAGCCTGGTAGAGGTAGAAGAGAGGTTTAGTACCATTTATTTGTTTTTGCTATGGGGTGTGTACACTACCAGTGCGATCAGTAGAAGGAAAGTGAGAAATCACCCCCTTGAAAGGATAGTCATGCTGTATTCTCAAGTTTTGGGGCATGCACACCCATGAGCCCAGGGTGATTTTCTTTCTTTCTTTCTTTCTTTTTTTTTTTTTTGAAAGGTTTTTGCTATAGGGCACGTGCGCTTGCCAGAAAGAGACAGAGAGACAGAAAGCAAGAAATCACCCCCCAGAGGGGTTGTCCCGAACGCAGTCCCTTCTCCTCCATTCTCCTCTTGGGATCTCGGGCATGTACTCACATGCGCCCGGCATGAGTTTAAGCCACCATGTTCAAGACTTGAACTGCGGTCGACTACATGGGAGTTCAGTGACATAGCCATTACACCATCTGCTGGTCCCAAAAATTATTTAATTTTTCTTTAGTTTTTTTTTTTTTTTTTTCATTTGACCAGAAAGAGACAGACAACTAGAGAAGCTAAGTGAGAAAGCAAGCCACCAGGTCCAGAACTTGAACCGCAGTCAGTGATGTGGAAGTCCAGCGCCCTAACCACCATGCCACCTCCATTCTGCTATGCAAAAATGCATCATGATTTTTCCAGCCACCCAATAAAATAAAGGTTTTCTGCGAATACAGGTTTTTTTGTTTTGTTTTGTTTTGTTTTGTTTTGTTTTAGTATATAGAGAGATGTTTGCTATAAAGTGTGTGTACTCCCTAGAAAGACAGAGAGACAGAAACCGAGAAATCACCCCCTAGGGGAAGGCCACACCGCAATCAATCCCTTCTCTATTCTCCTCTCAAGATTTTGGGTATGTACATACATGTACCTGGCATGAGTTTTAAGATGCCAGGTTCGTAACTCAAATCACAGTCGACTGTGTGGAAGTCCAGAGATGTAACCAGTACTCCATCTTCTGGTCATATAAATGTAGTTTTTGTTTGTTTGTTTGTTTGTTTGAGAGATTTTTGCTTTAGGGCAAATGAGCTCACCAGAGAGAGAGACAGAAAATGAGAAATCACCTCCTGGGAGGATGGCCACACTGCAATCCTTTCTCCTCTATTTTCCTCTCAAGATTTTGAGCATACATGCATACATGCCCAACGTGAGTTTTAGGTTGCTGAGCCTGGGACTCAAATCATGATTGACTACATTGGTCCAGTGACATAACCATTATGTCATCTGCTGGTTCTTAATGTAGTATTTCTTTTTCTTTTTTTTTTTTTTTTTTAATTTTTATTTGGGGAGCTGGCAGTTAGTGTAATGGTTATGTCGCTGGACTCCCACATAGCCGACCGCGGTTCACGTCCTGGACCCAGTGGCTTAAAACTCACACCAGGCATGTGTTTGTGCGTGCCCAAGATCCTGAGAGGAGAATGAAGGAGAAGAGATTGTGGAGTGACCATCCCCCCTGGGGGTCATTTCTCGCTTTCTGTCTCTATGTCTCTCTCTGTCTGTCTGGCAAGTGCACATGCCCTATAGCGAAAACCTCTCAAAAAAAATAATAATTTTTATTCAACTTTCTTTCTTTCCTTCCTTCCTTCCTTCCTTCCTTCCTTCTTTCTTTCTTTCTTTCTTTCTTTCTTTCTTCCTTTCTTCCTTTCTTCCTTTCTTCCTTTCTTCCTTTCTTCCTTTCTTCCTTTCTTCCTTTCTTCCTTTCTTCCTTTCTTCCTTTCTTCCTTTCTTCCTTTCTTCCTTTCTTTCTTTCTCATTTTAGTTTGACCAGAGAGGGATAGAGAGAGAGAGAGAAAGTGAGAAAGCAAGCCAGTAGGTCCAGAACTCAAACCGTGGTTGACCATGTGGGAGTCCAGCACCATTAATCACCACGCCACCTGCCGGCCCCCTGAATATATTATTTTTAAGTCCATCAGATTCTATCGAATTCTGAAAATATGAACAAGCAAAGCTACTGGAATGTATCTTTCAATCTTTTCTAGTTTGCTATAGGTCACATGCACTCATCAGAGACCAAGAGAGTAAAAAAGCTCTCCCTCCCTAGCAGTAGGAGGGAGAATGTCCACAGTCCCTTCTCCCCCATTCTCCCCTTGAGATTTTGGCCCCGTTTAGTACTTACTGTTTAATAGAGAAGTACTAATCCTAAAACAGTAATAATGTACTTCTTTCTTTTTACAGAAGTCATGTAGCCCAGAGACTATCTGTAAGGAAAGATGTTCGTCCATATGGAGAAACCATCAGTCTTGTGGCAGACAACCACCTAAATGCGCAAACGCCTCCTGGACTTGAACTGTGTGAAAGCCGTGCGTGTGGAGAAGGTTTGGTTCATTCATCACTTAATAGGCCCATCGGAGCGCACAGAGGAAAGAAACCGTCTGATTGTAAGGAACACAGAAAGAAGGCATATAAACATAAGCAATATGAAAAACCCTTCATTTCTCTTGAAAACGTGGGGAGACGCACAAGAACGCAAAGTGGCATGGGGCCTTATGAATGCAAGATATGTGGGAAAACTTTCCAGTGCCTCAATTTATTTCACTGTCATGCAGAAACTCATCCTGTAGGCAAACCCTATGAATGTAAGGAATGTGGGAAAGCCTTCTTTCAGTTAAGTTTCTTTCGAATCCACGAAAGGAGTCATACTGGAGAAAAGCCCTATGAATGTAAGCAGTGTGGGAAAGCCTTCAAGTGTTTCGGTTATTTACAAATTCATAGGAGAACGCACACTGGAGAGAAACCCTATCCATGTACGCAGTGCGATAAAGCCTTCCGTTGTCACGGTGACTATCGAAGACACGTGATGACACACACAGGAGAAAGACCCTATGAATGTAAGCTATGTGGAAAGACTTTCAGTCGTGCCTTTCACTGTCAAAGGCATCTAATAACTCACACTGGAGAACGACCCTACAGATGTGAGGACTGTGGTAAAACATTTCCTTTTCTCGCACATCTTCAAAAACACAGGATCACTCACACTGGAGATGGACCTTACAAATGTAAAGTATGTGGGAAGGCATTTCGTTGGCCCAGTTCCTTTCACGAGCATGAAAGAACTCACACTGGAGAGAAACCCTATACGTGTAACGTGTGTGGGAAAGCCTATAGTTGTTCCCGATATTGTCGAAAACATGAAAGAATTCACACCGGGGAGAAACCCTATGAATGTAAGCAGTGTAGGAAAGGCTTTATTTCTCGCAGATCCCTTCAAAAACATGAAAGAATTCACACTGCAGCGATACCCTGTCAATAAGCAATGTCGGTAAACCTGTCAATATGCCCATCAAGTAACAATACCTGAAAGAACTCATATTAGGGGGAAATTTTGTATATGTAAGGAAAGTGGGATGTTTTTCGCATCCATTACAAATATATGATAGAGGGGCTGGCAGATGGAATGGTGGCTGAGGATGTTGCATTCCCATACAGCAACCGTGGTTTGACCTGGCGGCTTACTTTCTTGCTTTCTCTCTGCCACTCTCTGGTCAAATTTAAAATAAATAAGTAAACAAAGTTAAATAAAATATTTATTTAAAAAAATTTTAATACATGCTAGAACTCATACTTAAGACAAACCTTACAAATGTAAAAAATGTTGGAAAGGGACCAGCAGATGGTGTGGTGGTTAAGGTGCTGGATACTCCCAACCACCATGCCACCTGCTGGCCCAAATTTATTTAATTTCATTTATTATTATTTTTTTAATTTGCTATAGGACTCATGAACTCACCAGAGACAGAGAGAGAGACAGACAGACAGACAAAGTGAAAAAGCAAGTCGCACAGTCCAGGACTCAAACTACAGTTGGCCATGTGGGAGTCCAACGACCTTAACTACCATGCCACCTGCTAGCATCAAAGTAATTTTTTTTTTTTTTTAAGAAGAACTTCTCGTTTTCCCCACCATTTTAGAATTTGCGAAAGAATTTGTAATGGGGACCAGCAGTTAGGGTCTCGGACCCGGTGACTTGAAACTCACGCTTGGTGCGTGTGTGTGCGTGCCCAAGATCCCAAGAGGAGAATGGAGGAGAGAAGGGATTGCGGTGTGGCCATTCCCCCTGGGGGGCGATTTCTCGCTTTGTATCTCTCTGTCTCTCTCTGTCTGCCTGGCGAGCGCACGCGCTCTTATAGCAAAAACCTCTCCAAAAAAGAAGAAGAAAAAAAAAAAAAAAGAAATCATAGACTTTTTAAAAAAAAAAATAAAGAATACCAGGGGGGATGGTCACGCTGCAATCCCTTCTCCTCCATTCTCCTCTCGGGATCTCGGGCACGCACACACACGCGCCCGGCGTGAGTTTTAAGCCACCGGGTCCGGGACACGAACCGCGGTTGACTACTTGGGAGTCCAGCGACATAGCCATTACGCTAACTGCTGGTTCCTGCAAAAACTTCTTAAAAAAAAGAATTTGTAATGGAGAAAACCATATGTATGTATGTTAGGGCTGTGTAAAAGCTTCTTATTGTTTCAGTTCTCTTCCAAGAAATGAATGGATTCATATTAGAGAGAAACTCAAAATGAATCATGGTCAGCCATGTAGGATGTCTAGGGCCTTAATCACCACCCCCTGTTGGCCTTTGTTGTTTCTTTTTTTTTTGTTAGAGTGTATGTATACTGTGAAGGAAGAGAGGCAGGTAGAGAGAGTGAGAAGGGAAAGACTCCCCCCATGGGATTTGGTGGTGCCATAATTTCTTTTCTTCTGTTTCTCCATCCTGTTACAATTTGGGTTCACAAATACACATGCCTCTTACTTTTTCTCTCAGGAGGCTTCATTCCACATTCCAATCATGGTCTGCCACGTCAGATCCAGATCTCTGTGTCCTGTACTTCAGTGCTACTGTGCCAGCTGAACAAGTGTGTTTTTGTTGTTCCTGTTTGTTTTTTGAGTTCATTAAATTAATCCTTTTGGGGCCAGCAGGTGACATGGTGATTGGGGCACTGGACTCCCACATGGTCCACCACGGTTCAGATACTGGACCTGGTGGCTTGCTTTCTCATTTTCCTTCTCTGTCTCTCTCTGGTCCAATTAAAAAATAATGATGATGAATAAAATTAAATAAAACAATTATTTTTAAAAATTTATCTCCTTTGGGGACCAGCAGTTAGTGTAATAACTATGTCGCTGGACTCCCACGTAGTCAACCGTGGTTCGCGTCCCGGACCCGGTGGCTTAAAACTCACGCCAGGCGTGTGTGCGTGCGTGCCCAAGATCCCGAGAGGAGATTGGAGGAGAAGGGATTGCGGCGTGGCCATCCCCTCTGGGGGTGATTTCTCGCTTTCCTATCTCTCTGTCTTTTTCTTTCTGGCGAGTGCACGCGCCCAATAAGAAAAAAAGGACCTCTTAAAAAAAATTATTTCATTTAACTTTATTAATTTGTTTATTTCAATTTGACCAGAGAGGGATAGAGAAAGAGAGAGAGAAAGCAAGCCGCCAGGTCCGGGACTTGAACCACGGTCGGCCATGTGGGAATCCAGCGCCTTTCACCACCATGCCACCTGTTGGCCCCAAATACTTATTTAACCCCAGATCTTCATCTTTTAAAAATTTTATTTTTAAAGAATTAATCAATATTAATATAAATTTCGCTATAGGGCATGTACTCAGAGTGGGGAGAGAGGAGAGAAAGTGTGAAAGCAAGCCAACAGGTCTGAGACTTGAACTAGTCAACCCTGTAGGAGCCAGTGCCCTTAACCACCACAACACCTTCTGGCCACCAGTATGGTTTTAAAAAGTATGTGTACATGGGGGAGGGAAGTAAGTGGCATGGTGATTAAGGCACTGGATTAAGGCACCTGGCTGAGCATGGTTCCAGTCTTGAACTTGGTGGCTTGCTTTCTCACTCCTCCCCCTTCTCTCTGTGTCTCTTTGGTGAGTGCATGTGCACTAGAGCAAATTAACAGTAAATAAATTAAATAAATACATAATTCTTTTTTAAAAAGTATGTATAGTGTGCAATAAATTGAGGATATACCCATATTCAACATTGAATATTACATTATTGGGACAAGCAATTGGCATAATGGTTATGTCACTAGATTCCCATGTAGGTCGATCATGGTTTGAGTCCCGGACCCGGTGGCTTAAACTCCCGCCTCGCGCGCGTACGTGCGTGCTCAATCAAGATCCCGAGAGGAGATTGGAGGAGAAGGGATTGCGGCATGGCCATCCCCTCTGGGGGTGGGGGTGATTTTTCGCTTTCTGTCCCTGTCTTTCTAGCGAGCATATGCGCCCTATAGCAAAAAAATTTCTCTCTAAAAAAAAAAGTATATATATTAAAGTATCTTATGAACATCCAAAATTCACTGGCATCACCATTCTTTCTGTTCAGTTTTTTTTGCCATGGTCTTCATGTGCTTACCAGCAGCAGAGACTGAGGCCAGAGACAGAGAGAGAGAGACTTGAAAGATCAAGATGCTCCTCATGTGCATTGCCCAAGTGGAGTTTCCTTGTGGGCTTGGGCATCAGCATTATGTCTTTCTAGGGCAATTTCATTATCATTTGGTTCTATAAGTTTTCTTTCTCAATCTCTCTCTTTTATGTGTGTGTGTGTGTGCTTTTTTTTTTTTTTTGGAGAGGTTTTTGCTATAGGGCATGTGTGCTCACCAGAAGACAGAGAGAGACAGAGAGACAGAAAGCAAGAAATCACCTCCCAGGGGAGATGGCCACGCCGCAATCCCTCCTCCATTCTCCTCTCGGGATCTTGGACACGCACGCACACGTGCCCGGCATGAGTTTTAAGCCACCAGGTCTGGGACGCGAACCACGGTTGACTACGTGGGAGTCCAGCGACATAGCAATTACGCCAACTGCTGGTCCTCCTCCAGCTGTTTTTTTTAAAGATATTTTCACTGGGACTGGCAGATGGTGTGGTGGTTAATTAAGGTGCTGGACTCCCACATGGCCAACAGTTAAGGTCCCAGACTTGGCAGCTTGCTTTCTCACTTTTCCTTTCTCTCTCTGGTTAAATAAATAATTATAACAAGTAAGTTTAAATAAATAATTCTCTTTTTAAAAAAATTGTTTTTGCTATATGATGTGTGTGCTTGCCAGAGAGACAAAAAGTGAAAAATCATCTTCCAGGGAGGATTGCCATGCCACAATCCCTTTCCTCCATTCACCTCTCAGGACTTTCGCCAAGCATGTGTGTGCTCCTGTCATGAGTTTCAAGCCACCAGGTCTGGGACTCAAACTGGGGTCAATCATGTGGAAGTCCAGTGCCTTAACCACTGTGCCACCTGCTACCCTCTCTCAGTTTTTAATTTCAACAATGCTTTGGGGGAATAAATCACTCGATGGAATTATCAAATTTTAGTTCCTTTAAAGAAATAGTTTGTGGGGACCAGCAGTTAGCATAATGGCTATGTCGCTGGACTCCCACGTAGTCGACCGCGGTTTGCATCCCGGACCCGGTGGCTTAAACTCACGCCGGGCGTGTGTGTGTGCGTGTCCCAGGGCCCGAGAGGAGAATGGAGGAGAAGGGATTGCAGCGTGGCCATGCCCCCTAGGGGGTGATTTCTCGCTTTCTGTCTCTCTGTCTGGCAAGCACACGTGCCCTGTAGCAGAAACCTCTCCAAAAAAAAAAAAAGAAGTAGTTTGTGACCACTGTGTGATATTTGCTGTGGTAAGACTCTCTAAGACATCTTGTTCCCCCCATTTTTCTTCTTCCTTTTTTTAAAAAAATAACAAGACCCTGGAATTTGATAGAAAGTGGTCAGATATGGAGGATCTATTGCTGAGTGAAGTAAGCCAGGCTATGAAAGAAAGATATTGTATGTATCCACTCAATATATACCGACTATCTGCACTCTATGATAGAGAGCAAAAAATTGGAGGACATAAAAGCAGTGAAGGTACTTAATGAGAATAGGACAGTGTGGAATGGGGTAAGTGAAGAGAAGAGGATAGAGAAAGATAGCAAGAGAACAATAGAGAGGCAGGACGTTAGTTAGAAACAGATATGGCTTATTACCTGTTGATGATGACATGTATAGTATTCTCAACTGGATTGGTCTGAGAAGTACTTCATGATGGGCAAAGTATTTTTACAAGCAAAATGAGAAATAGCGATTGACTGTTTTAAAAAATAATTATAATAATAATAATGATTGGGGAAAACAGAAAAGATATAGAAGGTTGAAGCGGGGAGATGAATGTCTTTGTACTGACTGACTTGCATGGCATTCCCTTTTGAAAAAGCAATGTAATACACTGTAAAGTTATATGTAATCCAATGTAATATAAAGAAGATTATGATGATAATTTAAAAAAAGAATTATTTAACTATTATTATTATTTTCCAGTTTTTTTAATCAGAGAGACAGAGAGAGGGAAGGTGAGAAAGCAGGCCACCAGGTCTGGGACTCGAACCGTGATTGGCCATGTGGGAGTCTTGCGCCTTTAATCACCACACCACCTCCTCCCACACACACCGCCATGTTTTCTTCTCCCAGTTGTCCAGGCTGTAGTTCATCTGTATCGTCATTAAAGCGATTCATCTCCCAGATATTTCTCAGCACCAAGTCCACTGCCCTTAAGTTTGAACTTGTCCATACGGCATTGTACATTATGTCAGCACCTTTGGAATGAGATGAGGAGCTATTAGTTTTATGACTTGGCAAAAAAATCTCTCTGCCTGTGGTTTGGGATGGAG